TACCGCCGAGCAAACCGGGTTGCTCTACCTTAAGGTCGAAAGCGGTACAACCGATTCGAGGACCTCTTCACCTTGGCGAAGTCGCCGCTCACGGTCTCGATCCTCGTAACACCGCCCTTGATCGAACCTCGCTACTGGCGCTCATTCACCGGTGACCAATGCCGATGATCTTTGAACGCAGTGCGGGATGTAGTATACATCCGTTAGCGCTGCGGTGCTCCCTGATACGCATCTCGAAGATGATGGTGCCGCGCCCTTGGATAGCCACCCTTGAGCCGTCACAACTTCACCGTACCGGTAACATCACCGTCGAGCTCGGAGAAGGAGTCCTTGGAGCCCGTCATGTGGTTACTGACACCAAAGTCCAGATACCACCGCTGCTCCTAGTCGACGCCCACATGCCCAAGATGGACTTGGGCGCGTGGTTCGTCGAGGTTGACGGTCTTCAGGGCCTTGCTAGATCCTTCCACCGTCGTCGCCTCTTCCCTCTCCATGGCCTCGACGTCGTGCAGTGCACAGAACGTCGCCATAAGGATAGTGGCCTCATCCTCATCATCGGCTTTCGCCAGGTGAGCCTGAGCCTTCTTTTCCTTCTTGCGATTTGGGCACTCCCGTGCCCAATGGCCCATCTTCCCGCAACACCGACAGCGTTGAGTCGATTTGCTTCTTCTCCGAAGAAGCCCCGCCTTGCGATGTTTGTCGTTGCCACCGCGACCGGAGGAGGCCGCCTTCCGGAGTTTCGCCGAGCAACCCACTCCTCTTCCGTCGCCAGGAGTTTCCAGCGTCGCCGTTCTTTGTCGCCGCCGCTTCAGCGCCGTCCACCGCCGCGCGCAGACGGCCGCCACATCCTCGATGGTGAGGGTGGACAAGTCCAAAGATCGTCTCTATGGAGAGAGCGATCTGGATGTACTTTGCTTAAACGACGAGTGGAGGAATTTGGAGACCGCCTCCTCTTCGTCGATGGTGGACGCGTGGCTCTTGACTTTTTGGCGATGAGCGTCTGCAAGCGGAGAGAAAAAGTCCTCCACTGTTTCACCATCCTTGAACTTGAGGTTTGCATACTCCGCCTTGTAAGCCGGGCCGTTGCCTTCTTTCTGCGGTCGGAACCGACGCAGATCGCCGCAATGGCCTCCCACGCCTCCTTAGTTGAGCTCTTCGTCCCCTAACGGTTCCCTATACTCCGCGATGACAAGCAGCGAGGATAGCCTCCAACCCGACATGTCGTCTTCTTCCACGTCGGTGCCCTTGTCATGACATTCAGAGCCGTCGGGCTCGAAGCTTGACCTTCATGGTCACCGACCATTCTCCATAGTTAGTGCGAGTCAAGATCGACCAAGTGGTGCGGCCGACCTCCCGCTTGCCGTCGGCGGACAACTACCTCGGTGAGTGGTCGGGCATCTATGACATTGCCAACGCCATCGCCAAACTCAAAACCACTGTCCCCTCGCCATCGGTTAGAATGGCGACGGCGCATGCAGCCTCTAATACCACTTGTTGGCCCACGGGATCACCGTCTGACGATAGTGAAATAGTCTCCAGACCACTAGTCTCAGATCACTAGTCTCCCAGACCAGACCACTAGTCTCCCAGACCACTATATCGGTTGTGTCCGTACCCACACACTATGGATCGAGCTAGAAGAAGGGAGAACAGAGCAAGCACGCACAATACAAGACAACAACGTTGGCCGAGGCCCTGTCTCGTGTGATGGCAAATCGAGCTCTCTTTCTCGAGTTGCCTTGGTGCCCTATTTATACAACTCTATCTATCTAACTAAAGTACAGCGCACATCTTTATATGATAACTAGATAAGCATCTGGGCTGACTCTGCTGCCGCCCCTTTGCATGTGCCTACAAAGATCTTCTGCAGGTGGAGTTTGGCTTGGCTTTGCGCACTGCAGCTGCCATCTTGTATCACAAATAGGGGCAAAGTCGGCGTCGCCTTCCTCTGCTGTGTTTCACACAAGGTGGCAGTAGATTAGCTAACAAAGGCTAGGCACACGATGCTAAGGGGCAACGGCACGCCTTCCCACATCGCTTCTCAGTCATCTCGTCTACACAAGTTCATCACCGGTTCGTCATTGCCACCACAGATCATGACGTCTCCGCAAACATCTTCCATTGCGGTAACGCCTCGCTTGTCGGTCATCTCATCTGCACGTCTTCATCGCTGGTTTGTCATCGCCCCGACAGATCAAGACACCTCCGCCAACTTCTTCCATCATTTTTCTAGAATGCGCAGGAGAGCTGCGCATCTTTGTATTATAGAGAGAAAAAGGATCGGCCCCTTACATGAGCTTCACCACCTCACACCGGGCCGAGCCATGAGGGGTTGAAAGAAACAAAATAGTTTGCACCAATCAGGTGTGGGCATACAGAACTGGCCTTGGTACAGGAACTTCTCCCCTGTGCGCTCATGGATTTTCCCTGCAAATATTTGGGGTTGCCTCTCTCTCTCAAGAAGTTAACTAAGGAACAAATCCAACCTATTATAGATAGAATAGCTGATCGGCTTCCGGGATGGAAAGCGAGACCTCATGACACAGGCGGGACGAAGGATTCAGTGCGATTTGTCCTCTGACCATGCTTATTTATTTGGCAATGGCGGTTGATTTCCCACCATGGGCAATTAAAGCCGTGGACAAACTGCGGAGAAGTTTTCTTTGGAGGGGCCGCAAAGATGCTCGTGGAGGACACTGTCTTGTGGCTTGGGGAAAGGTTACCCGTCCACTTGAACTAGGTGGGCTTGGCATTTCAGACCTCAAGCATCTTTGTTGGGCACTAAGGATGAGATGGGTTTGGTTGAAAAAACTGAACCTCATCGCCCATGGGCAGCCCTTCCTATTCGGATCCGGGCCAAGTTTATGCCTTCTTCTCGATAGCCGTTATATCGGAAGTGGGCAATGGGAATCACACTTTGTTCGGGACTGATCGTTGGATCCATGGATGATGTATCGCTGACCTTGCACCGAGACTACTCAAGCCATCCCAAGAGAAGGGTGAAGCAACGTCACGGTACAGGAAGCTCTTATTGGTCGCAGCTGGGTTTTGGATATTAAGGAGCCCGTGACTGTAGGTGTTATTTGTCGACTTCCTCCATCTCCGGGAATTGCTGTACAATTTTGAGTTAGAGCCTGATGTTGAAGATGTCCACATATGGCGTTTCTCCGCTAGTGGGAAATACTCGCCAAGTCCGCCTATGAGGGTTTCTTCCAGGATCTACTTGAGTTTGGTCCATACTGAGAGGATTTGGAGAACCGGGCACCGCCCAAATGTCGTTTTTTCTTTGGTTGGTTGGTGGCCCACAATCGGTGCTGGACAGCAGATCGCCCTTGCGTGTCGTGGGCTGCCTCATCCTGTGCAGTGCCCTCTCTGTGATCAGGAGGATGAGACTATCAACCACCTCCTAGTCTCCTATGTCTTTGCTAGACAATTTTGGTATCTCCTTTTGAGACAGGTCGGCCTACACTCCTTGTCACCACAGCCTTCTGATTCTTCCTTTGATATATGATGGGAAAAGGCTATTCGAGCAACAAGTGGATTAATGCAAAAAGGTCTCAACTCTCTTATTGTGCTTGGTCACCGGAATCGTTGCGTTTTTGATGGAATTACCCCCAACCTTGGACGAGCTCTCTCCCTTGCTGGAGAAGAGCACCAGTTGTGGAGTGTAGCAGGAGCCAAGGGTCTGTCCTCCTTGACAGCCCCTCTCTTTGGTAGTTAGCTTAGTGATAGTGTTTGGTCGCCTTTTGTCCTTGTCAGGCGCGAATGTTATTTGTGTGGGGTTGTGTGTGGTGTGTTGTAGGGCTCTAGCCCCTTTCTTTCTTCTTAATATAATGATGCGCAGCTCTCCTGCGTTTTCGAAAAAAAAAACCCAGAAGGATGAGACCTGACCACCACAAACTAGATTAACTAGCCCAAGGCGTGACCTAGACCAAGAGTCCGTAGGCCTCGTACAATCAACTATTCCACCAATTCTCTACCTCCTACAAGTACCACTAAGAGGATAGATTGTGTTGGATATGACAAAGACATACCACATTAAATCAAGTTAAACAAAAAATGGAGACTAAAAACGTCACTGAAAATAGGAAGCTTTTGTAAAGAACACAAATCTTTCAAAAGAAATCGATAGAAAAACCACAAAAATTTAGAGATATCAAGGTCCAGAAGATCCAAAATGGTTTCAGACATTTAGGGTGGTGAGGTGACTCTAATAACGTGACAGTAAATGTGCAAAAGAACAGATGCATTGCTACTACAGGATGAGGCAGTGTCATATGGATGATGCTGTACATGTCGTGAGTCCTATGAAACTAGCTGTGTGTTTATGAAATATTATCAAATGTAGGAGCTAGTATTTTCTATAACTGTGTATAAATAACATCAAATATAGTCAAATTTCACCATGTTTCAGTTATTAGACAAACAAAGGCCCTGCTTGGCAGTCTTGGAGCTGGAGCTGGAGGTACCACTTTTGATTTTAGTCTAAAAACAGCAGATCCAAAGTTGAAGCTGTGCCAAACACGCCCAAAGAATAGATGAGTTGTGTATGCCAACAAGCCAAGCACAAGCCACTCTACAAGCCTACAAGCCCCTAGCAAATCTAAAAACGATTTTAAACATCTCCAAACCATGTCTGTACTAGTAATACTGTAAGCAATCTTCCTATCATACTAGGTTTCAATTGGATAGTAAGCCAATCATCATCTTTATGCAGAATATTAGAAAATTAGTTTGAAAGTGGATAAGAGTTAATATCAAACTTAATGGATAAATTTCAGAATAACCTTGTGACCCAAGGCATCGACTCTCAGGCATAAATATGGTCCACATGAGGCTTCAATAAATTTTGGACAGTAAACCAATCAACAGGTTCTCATGTAATTAATTCTGAAAGTTAACATAAAATTTACTGGAGTGTGTGTCGGTGCTATAGCACAAACGCAAACATATAATAACATTTTAAAACTAGAAATTCATAATAAATGTTACCAAATAACCTTGTTCAAAGTTTTCCAATCATCAAGAGCTTCATTGTAAGCATCTACTAAACTTAGTATCCTGTCCTTCAGATATTTCTTCTCAGTTATACTAACTTCACAAGATAACAATCGGTCCATATATGCCAGCCAACAGTTAGCTACTGTATCTGGTGATGAACTGCAAGGAAAACTCAACAGAGATAAGATTATACACCTCAGGATCTATGAAATAGTCACCAAAATTAAAAATAATGGTACCTCAAAAGTACTTATAAGACAAAAATTGTTAGCCCAATATAATGATTTCTTAAATATGTTATCCTAAAGCACGAAATGAACATTTAAATAGGAATTTCTCACCCAGAAACACTTCTCTAATCCAAAAATTTTAGTTTTTAAATGCTTTCCAAACAAAGAAAAAAAAAGACTGATCTTGGCAAGCAGAGTCCAGCTCAAACGTTAATATACCTGAGTGTAAACCTAGTCCTCAAAAATTCATCGAATAATGCACTTTCCAGGGAGGATCCATAATGTTGAGGGTTCTTTTGCTCCTTTCTCTTTTGAGTAATCCTTTGAAGCCGAGGTTGACATGGTTTGAAGTATTTCAGTAACTGAAAACACCAAATTCAGTCATAGTGAGTTAGTGAGAGCTCCCATTAGTAAGTTGGCAGAAATAAACAAAACAAAGAAAGGCTTGAAAGTGTGCCATGCATCAGGATATCCAAACGAGTGATTTATCATGCGATCTATTTTATAATAAGAAATGGCTATCCATGTCAGTGAATTGCTATTGTATCTAATAAGATATGTATCCATATTGAGCCCAACTGTGATCCTTAGTACTACACAAAAAAAGGGTGCTCAATACCTAATTTACAAAAACCAATCACACCCCTAATTTCAACAATTTATATAGTACATACAAATCAATAAAACTAAACTGCAAAACAGAATATAATGCAACACAGTTGCTATGGAAGACTTCAGCTAAAGAGCATTCACTGCAGGTCATATCCATAGAGTTGTATTCATGAAAAAAAACTAGATAAGCACATTAAATACAGAAAACAATGGACTAGAAATTCTTACAAAGGTTTAAACACAGCATAGAGCAACATCTACTAGGCAGAAAAAGGAAGTCCAGATTCAAAATCATCCACAATATACAGAAAGAGAAAATGGTTTAACTCCATTCTAATCTACTGGTAGGAGTGGAACCAAGAGGCATCATGAGCTCTTGCATTAAAGTCAGAGCTGCTCAAACACAAGAGAAAGAACAAATTGTGTTTCCTTTTCAAAAATAAAATATGATGAAATGTTGATATTCCATAGAAATACAGGATCACAGATTTTCAGTAGTGATAACACCAACCAACCTCTGAGTTTCTTTTTTTTTCTCGAAAACGCAGGAGAACTGCGCTTCATTGTATTAAGAAGATAATAAAAGGGGGGGTGTGAGAACCCATACAACACAACACACACAAAACACATTGCAGCAGCTGCTGCTGCTACTAGGAAGCTAATGCGCCTTAGACATAGAAAAAACGACCAAAAAGGAGAGAGAGGACGCTAACCACCCGGAGCGAGGGCATCCAAGAGGGATAATCCTCGAGCCCCCGCCAAAGACCACGACCTTCTGTCATCTTCCGCTTCTGACAAGAGCGCTGCAACACTTGGGGCTGCACCATCAAAAACACAACTGCTTGCGGTGTCTCCATAAGGTCCAAGCTCCTGGGATCACGAGAGAGTTGATTCCTTTCCTTGCCATGTCACTAGCAGCACTGTTTACTCTCTCCCACCACAGTGAAAGGATATTTCGTGGATCATGGGAAAGGGCTTGGAGTCCCATCCAGAAAAGAAGCGGAACCAAAATTCTCTGCAAAAAGACACACTGAACTAAGAGGTGATCAATGGTTTCGCAGACTGATCACACAAAGGGCGATCTTTCAGGATGAGGTAGTCCACGGCGTGCAAAGGCGATCCATTGTCCAACAGCGGTTGTGAGCCACCAACCAAACAAAGAAGCGGCATTTGGGCGGCGCCTGTGTCTTCCAAATTCTTTCATTGGGGCTCAAAAGATATAGACCCCACAAAAAATCCCTTGTATGCGCAGTCTTGGCGAATACTTTCCATCCGAGGAAAACCGCCAAATATGCCTATCTTCAACACCCGGTTGCAAGGAGAAATCAGACAGGGCGTCCCAAAGGAGGAGGAAGTCAACCATTACACCGACCGCATGAGCCCCTTTTATATCGTAAATCCAAGTCACGGTTGGTAAGGGCATCTGGACGATTCGTTGTTTGGTCCTCCTTTTAGGGATAGCGGCGAAAAGACGAGGTGCAAGATCTGCGATACATTGGCCATGGAGCCAAGCAGTCTCATCAAGAAAAGGGTGTTCGCTCCATTCCCAACTTCGAGTAAAATAAACCCTTTGCAAAGAAGGCTCTAACTTGATCTCGCACATGAATTGGAAGATTAGCCCATGGGCGATATGGTTCTGCTTTTTTTTGTAACAGGCCCATCTCATTCGCAATGCCCACCAAGGGATTTAAGGTCTGAAATTCCTAGACCACCAAGTTCTTTAGGGATACAAACCTTACCCCAAGCAATAAGACAATGCCCTCCTTTTGCATCTCTGCGGCCTCTCCAAAGGAACCCACGCCGAATTTTATCCACTGCTTTAATAGCCCAAGGTGGAAAGTCGATGGCCATAATTAGATAGACGAGCATACCGGTGAGCACAAACTGAACCTGAACCATTCTTCCAACCTTGGTCATCAAATCTGCCTTCCAGCCAGGAAGCTGATCAGCAATACGGTCAATAATAGGCTGAATTTGAGCTTTGGTAAGCTTCTTCAAAGCGAGAGGCAGTCCCAAATATCTGCATGGGAAGTCAGTGAGTGAACCTCTGAGTTTCTTGATACCCAGAACATATTGCCACCAAAACTGCTTGCCATAGCTTGTGATCCAGAAACAGGAAAAAATATAGCATACTTGGAATTTCCAACAATATCCTCCAAACCCCGGATATATGTAGTAGTCAAGACATGGATATCACCAAGATGTAGCCCAGGATACTTGTAGACAAGAACGTCTCCAGAAAGTTGGCCATCACCACTGTGCAACAGGAGATATAGGAAGTTACAACGGCCACCAATAGGAACAGCAAGAAAAAAATACTCAGTTGTCTAAAATTTAGTAATAAACTGTTAATTTCATGCTACCCTAACAGATTACACATAATCTACTATCATATTTCAGTAAATTTCTGTTTTAGATGAAGCAAGCTTTGTTTCAAGATGAAATATTGTGGCCTCTACGTTCCGCAAAACGATGACGCAAAAAAGGGATAGAACACTGAAACAAGGTGTGCATCAAGCAACACGAAGTCACAAACCCAGGCCTACGACACAAAACCACAAGAACAGTGCTTGCAGCTTGCTATGCACTAACACTTGTTGTCTTATGCAACTGAAAGAGAGGATCTCCAAGACTCCTAACTGAAGTCCTCCGACATGGAGAGTGACCAATAAGGTGCACTCAGTTGACAGCCACCATCGAAGAGTGGCAGATGACCACAAAGCATGACTAAACCAGTGCTGAGCATCTTCTCTCTGAGTGAACTCAGCATCAGCAGGAACTCCAAAGGCATGCCTCCTACACACAATGTGATGATGCCATCATTACCTGATCCAAAAGGATATATAGTGGTTTTCACCTGGATAACCAGCTGAGGGACACAGAGGTGAAGGCAGCACCAAGGAGGGTAATAACACCCTTAGGTCCAACTGTTGCAAGGAACCCAGTAATTTATTCCAGTTTTTCTAAACAAACATAGAAGGAACTAGAAGACTCAATATTAATTAGTAAGAATTAGGCACCCAAATTCACCTCGATGAGGATTTGAACTTGAGTGGTCTGGGTGTACATCCACACCCTCATCCAACCTTGGTAATTTGTTCCTTTTTTTTAGAATGACATGAAGCTTTTTGCCAAAAATGTAGTCACATTACAAAGAATTAAAGAAAGGTAAAACGAGAACAAAGCAGCAAGCCAGCAACATTGGTATACATCATGCAAATAGGTCTGGAAAACCCTAAAGAAGTTTCTGATTCATGTGAGATTATGCAGGCATGCATGACTAGTTTCTGTTGTTTCTGGAGTTTAACTGTAAAAGATGGTGAGCAGTACACCACTAACAATTTAGCTGCTCAGAGGAGACAAAAAAACATCAAGATTCAACAGGCATTGTTGAATACTTACAGTATGACACAAACTTCGTTAGGTTTTAAGGACCCTGTGGGGTCGGTTGTACCCATCAAAAAGGAGTCATCAATTGGGATCTTTCCATGTCTGAGTCCTCTCATTTCCTCTTTAACCATGATTTCAAGTCTGGACTGCAAATATGGCTCCTCTATTGAAATCCCAGAAAGAATCATTTGTGCCGATATTGAATTGTCCATTTCAGCAAAATTTAATGAAGCTGTATAGCCAACCACAGACAAGATGATATAGGGTTACCACATGAATCAAAGCACTAATGAGAATAATACAACAATTGGCCTTTGATAAGTCCATGCCGACATAATCTAGTGAAATTTATAGGGCAACAACAAAAAATGAACAAGAGATAGCACATGAACAAAAGGTTGGCATCAAGGATAACATCATTTATGGTCAGATCAGCTGAAGTATAGTAAATTATAAATAACATTTTACACCAGTTTTTTTTAGGGAACCAATGCCTACCAGTCAATATCCTTGTTTGGTTCATGTACTAGTATTGCCACCATTTTCCACAAAATTTAGCCAAACTAACCTAAGGTTAGGTTAGGCATGATCATCTATGGTTTAGATTGTGGTTTATGCTGGTCTCTCAGCCGGCCCATAGGTGAATGGTTTCAGTGGATTGGTTTGGTTGCAACGGTTTCCGTCGAGCTTGCCCTGGTGGGTTGATTACACGGTTTTGATGGTTTAAACTAGGTCTACATGCTTCCTTGCCTGGCTGCGAATTGCTATGGCTCGGCTAATTGCCTTCGATCTAGCCATGGTTCCAGTTTGCTAGCATCCCAATACCGAGCATGCCTACAGGGGACCAGGAAGACTCCTCTTCCTCCCGACACTCGTCCTTTGCTGAAGATGCCAGCCACAGTGTGCCATGCGCTCATCGCTACAGCACCTGCCTCACGTCGAACACTCATTGCTGCCGCCACGCTCGGCGTCCAGCCCGTTGCACTGTGTCCTCGCTACGTCCACATGGTGGCCTAGCGGCTGCCGCCAACGTGCAGCCTCGCAGATCATGCACAGGTCACACACCAGGGCGCTAGGAAGGGCTGAAGTGGTTTTATGGTTTCTAACCTGCAATAGACCAAACTGTAGACAAAATAGATGATTTCAGCCTTGAAACCAACTAAACTGCTAAAACTAACTCGGCTGGTCTGGTCTGGATTGGTGAAGGGCTGAACGGTTTTAGCCCAGCCCATGAACAGGCCCACACTAGGTGATCAGAAATATTTTCAAACACTGGCAAGCCACACACCACACTTATCTAAGTCATTGACATGGAGGTCCCAGCCTCCTAGTAGCTGAAATGGAATCTTGCCACAATTGTAGGTTGTGGCTGCAAACCAAACAGGTGGCTGAACTGGTCAAACTTGCCAAACCTTAGCCATGGCAAAGTGTGGCAAGTAATGGCTCAAAACCAATAACCTACTCCAATGGCTATCCCAAACTGTGCCGTATATAAAGTAACTGTTTGAAAGTATCTTGATAAACAATCTACGCAGTCCCTACTAGAGTTCAACTTAATGCAGCCAAAAAATACAATTGCTAAAAATTAGAAGCATGCATGTAGAAAAGCAGACCTTTAAGTGCATCGTTAATAACATGACAAATACTATGGATTCCATCTGATGCATTTAGTAGCAACTTCATAAAATACTCTGCTGGAACACCTCCATAATGAAGTAGCGCAATTAGGAACCACGATGTCAATGCCCTCTTCGGTCAATTACAACAACAACAACAACAACAACAACAACAAAGCCTTTAAGTCCCAAACAAGTCGGGGTAGGCTAGAGTTGAAACCCATCAGAAGCAATCAAGGTTCAGGCACGTGAATAGCTGTCTTCCAAGCACTCCTATCTAAGGCTAAGTCTTTGGGTATATTCCATCCTTTCAAGTCTCCTTTTATTGCCTCTACCCAAGTCAACTTCGGTCTTCCTCTGCCTCTCTTCACGTTACTATCCTGGCTTAAGATTCCACTACGCACCGGTGCCTCTGGGGGTCTCCGTTGCACATGTCCAAACCATCTCAACCGGTGTTAGACAAGCTTTTTTTTAATTGGCGCTACCCCTAATCTATCACGTATATCACCGTTCCGAACTTGATCCCTTTTTGTATGACCGCAAATCCAACGCAACATACGCATTTCCGCGACACTTAGCTGTTGAACATGTCGTCTTTTCGTAGGCCAACATTCTGCACCATATAACATAGCAGGTCTAATCGCCGTCCTATAAAACTTGCCTTTTAGCTTCTGTGGTACCCTTTTGTCACATAGGACACCAGACGCTTGCCGCCACTTCATCCACCCTGCTTTGATTCTATGGCTAACATCTTCATCAATGTCCCCGTCCCTCTGTAGCATTGATCCTAAATATCGAAAGGTATCCTTCCTAGGCACTACTTGACCTTCCAAACTAACATCTTCTCCTCCAGTAGTAGTAGCCAAGTCACATCTCATATACTCGATTTTAGTTCTGCTTGAGTCTAAAACCTTTGGACTCCAAAGTCTCCCGCCATAACTCCAGCTTTTTGATTCACTCTGTCGGCTTTCATCAACTAGCACTACATCGTCATGAAAAGCATACACCAAGGGATGTCCCCTTGTATGTCCCTTGTGACCTCATCCATCACTAAAGCAAACAAATAAGGGCTCAAAGTGACCCTTGATGTAGTCCTATTCTAATCGGGAAGTCATCCGTGTCTCCATCACTTGTTCGAACTCTAGTCACAACATTGTTGTACATGTCCTTAATGAGCCCGACGATGCCGTTGGGACTTTATGTTTGTCCAAAGCCCACCACATAACATTCCTTGGTATTTTATCATAAGCCTTCTCCAAGTCAATAAAAACCATGTGTAGGTCCTTCTTCTTCTCCCTATATCGCTCCATAACTTGTCTTATTAAGAAAATGGCTTCCATGGTTGACCTTCCGGGCATGAAACCAAATTGGTTCACAGAGACCCGCGTTATTGCTCTCAAGCGATGCTCGATAACTCTCTCCCATAGCTTCATAGTATGGCTCATCAACTTAATTCCCCGATAATTAGTACAACTTTGAATATCCCCTTTATTCTTGTAGATCGGTACCAATATACTTCTCCTCCACTCATCAGGCATCTTGTTCGATCGAAAAATATGGTTGAACAGCTTGGTTAGCCATACTATAGCTATGTCCCCGAGGCATCTCCACACCTCGATTTCTATTCGCGACTGTCCCTGTGTACCAAAGCTTGAAACCTGTATTGTCCACCTCTTTTGCCTTCTGACCCTTCCATTTAGTCTCTTGAACGCATAATATATTTACACGCCTCCTAGTCGTGGTATCAACTAATTCTCTTAACTTACCTGTAAGCGACCCTACATTCCAACTACCTAAACGAATCCTAGTTGGTTCGACTAGCTTCCTTACCCTTCGCACCCGTCGACTCAGATGCGAAGACCCTTGCTCATTTTTCACTACACCCGGGCGCCGATGTAGCGCGCCACTAAGGAAGCGACGACCCGATCCTTGCTCACTTGACACCATGCCCAGATCACGACACGGCGCGTCACGGGGGTGACGACCCGGCCCTTGCCCATTTAACACCATACCCGGGTTCCGATATGGCGCGTCGCTAAGAGGGTTACGCCCCAACGATTTTCTTTCGGGTTTCATCTCCATTAAAGTGGCTAATTTTTACATTGGCTCGCCACGCCTAACACAATCTTCCTCCTTTACCAGGGCTTGGGACCTGCTATGCTGAGACACCAAAGGCGCCCCACCATAGGCGATTGCTGAGGAAAAAAAACAGTACCAAATCTTTAAAATGGAATGAGGATACAACAACAGTAAAACGAAAGGACCAAATCTTTGTCAAACAAATAAGTAATACCATTGAGAAAAAGAGAAAATGACTATAAGAAACCCTGGTTACAAAAATAAGTAGCCAATATCCAGCCCTCAACTATCATCTCGATAACATTTCATTCTTGCAAACTTAATGTGGACAACTAAACCAGGACTAATATATCCCCCATATCTTAGTTTCCCTCTATCTATAACTATACAGTGAGTTGGTTTTTTATTATCATAGTGGACCTTTGAAAAAACAAAATTTGTATTGACTAAATTGTATAATTTCAACTTTTATGTGCTACCAAGGAACCATAAATATCCTCCATGACTTAGGTTTAGTCACCTAATCATAGTGAACATCAGTGTTTACAAGTCAACCGATTAATCAAGATTAATCGGACTAGTCGGTCAATGGAGGTCGACAAGGGGCACCGAGGCGACTAGCTTGACCAGAAACCTAGTCATCCGATTAGTCGTCGCTTAATCGCGATAGTCGTCCAATTAGGAGGGGGGCAACCAGGCTAGTTGCTGCTTAACCAGGCTTACAAGTGGGCTATTCGGCTGGCAATTTGGCCTGTTAGGGTTAGCATTGGAGTGTGTTATGGCAGGGGGAACAGTGCCGAGTGAACAGTACCGGGTCTGATTAGATTAGATTAGATTGATTTGGTTTGTTAGGAAAGGAATAAGATAGATAGATTCAGTTAGGATATTACTTAGGGGTCAAGTAAGTTGTCTCTATAAAAGGGACCGTCATGTATCAGTTAGAGGAAAGCAAGAGAAAATTCTAAGATAGTTCCCGAGGAAGGGCGGCTATCTGGGTCTCTCTGCTAATCCATCTATCCATAGCCTTTTCATAACAGAGTGCCCAAAAAATGCAGAGCAGGAGGCCCACTGGAATGCTCCCCAACGCTGTCTGCAAATTCCTCCCGCGCGACTCCTATTCTTCCTGCAAGCCGGCGGTGCCCTCTGCCAGTTCAAGTTGCAGCTGCTCTTCATGATGAGCTCCTCCTCCGATATTGTGTGCCCTTTCCCTCCTGCTCCATCCCTCACTCCGCAGCCTCTCTGCTAGTCTGCTTGCCTGCTGTGCTGATGCTGCCCTCTGCTACTCACTTGCTGGCTCTCCATCCTAAGATGATGTTTGGGACAGGGATATGGAGTTCTGGACAGTGCAGAAATCAACTCGCACAAGTCACCCATTAACCTCCGACATTGATGCTTGCTTTATCGTGTACACTATACAGTATATATATGTGTATATATATAGTATGTATATGTCCTGAAATACATAGGACGACTAGAACTGACTAGGCTCGACTAATTAGTCACCTGGTCGGTCCCATAGCGACTAGGTTCGACTACACGATTTGTAAACACCGGTGAAATACATCACAAAGATCGTCGGTAGAGGATAAAGTAAGCAAAGCAGTATCATTAAGCTTTAAGGTACGATACACTAAGTTTGCGAGACTGCCTAAAGCTAGCAAATTGATGCAGCTATGGGTAGAAAAAAAGGAAACTAATCATATGAAATGAAGTGAATCAGCCATTTTAATGCTAAAGCACGGAGGGATCTTTCTGTCCACAGAAGGGCTGAATTCTGCTCCCTCCGTTTATCAATGTTAGTCATATGTTGATTGAAAAGATCATACTTTAAATATTTTGACCAACAACTAGTCAAATTATATGCATCAAGTGTAAAACATTACATCAACATTGTATTTGAAGTCCTTTCAAGATTGTGGAGATTGATCTCAATCTCCAAGGTGGCGTGAGCAGAAAGATGTGCACTTGACTAAGGATCAATGACTGACATGTGAATACAAATACCATGTGGAAAGACCGAATATGATAGAAAACCCTAATGATTTGTTGTTGATTGCATTAACCCTTAGGGGCTATATATAGGTACATGTGAGGGAGACTTGGGGTACAAGACAAGTTGTACTAGGTTTAAACATATTATAAGGACTCTACAACTCAGTTATACATATACTCTAACAGCGAAAGCATGGTGGAGGATAAGGCAATAGTGATGGAAGAGGCAAGAATACCTTGTGAAATAAACTAGAGACTTATGGTGTGTTTGGTTTGTGGAGTCATCCCATGCTTCATGAGGTGATGCATCATGAGTTCATCCCATCAATTTTGGTGGAATCAACCCATTCCTCATGCATATACTAATTATTAGCTTGTGAGGAATGAGATGTTTATGGATCAACTCATTCCATTCCACAAACCAAATAAAAAAGTGAGGAGTGAGAAGGAAGATGGACCACCTCATTCCTCAAACCAAACACACCATTAGTGAATGCAGGGAAAAGTTACCCAGTTACTGCAACATATGTCCAGATCTAGATATTTTGATGTGGCTTTCTAACTTCCATGGAAAATGTGCATATGCTTGGGATGTATACCTAATCCAATAAAGTTAACAGGTATACCTTGTCGAAATCACTTCCAAGGAGTTGAAGGATTTCACATCTATTAAATTTGGATCAGCTTTAACTTTTATCATTGATGGCCAGATATGAATTGTTCTAGGCGGAAGCTGCAGTAGAAATGTAGATTAGCAATTAGAAACTTTTTTCTAATTGGCTTCAAAAAGACAAGAAACAATATATAAAATGGCAATAACCAAAATCATGTGTAAACAAATAAGGATACTAGAGAGCATTATCTTCCCTTTGGCACTACAGAAACTCAAAATTCATCTTTCACCTGCCTAAAGACTACTTTTGCAATTCTTCCCAAAAAAGCTACCGTTTTTTTCTATTGTCAAATTAAATAATACAATTAGAATAAAAGTCCAGAATTAGAAGTGGCTAAATCCTTGCCAACACATGTTTCTATAGTTTGCAGGCCCCATTTATGTATCAAAAGAAGAAGATGGCATTTACTTTATATACCTAAATCTTTTTTTCTATGTAAAAGCACAAAGACACTAGCGAAAATCTAGTATCCTTTAGTTGCTACTCCCTCCATTCCAAATTGTAGGACGTTTTGGCTTTTCTAGATACATAGCTTTTTTTTTCCCCCGAAAGAACGCAGGAGATCTGCGTCTCATTGTATTAAGAAGAAAAGAGGGTACAAGAACTCAGACTTACAAACACCCCAAACACAACACACACACGACACAAGCTACACCAGCCAAGGCACAAACGCAGCTCGGCTGGTTGAAGGCGACCTGCAGAGATCCCAGGAACTAATCACCTGGGAGATGGGCGGTCAAGAGGGAGAGCCCTTGAGCCCCTGCACTGGTCCACAACCGACGTTCTTCACTGGCCATTACAACAGCCCCAACCACACTTGGAGCTGCTCCATCAACCGATTGCGATGTTTCCAAAGAGTCCAGGCCCCCAAAATAATTAGGGAATTAACTCCTTGCCTCACCATATCAGAAGTAGCATTATTAGCTCTCTCCCACCAGTCCATGAAGGAATCAGTAGGTTGGGGAGACAAAGCCTGGAGACCGACCTGCCAAAGCAAAATGAACCAAAATTCCCTGGCGAATACACATTCCACAAGGAGATGGCTGATTGATTCCTCTTCTTGATCACACAGCGGACAATAATCTGGGTGAGGCATTCCACGTCGTGCAAGTCGGTCAGATGTCCAACACTTGTTGTGGGCCACTATACACATGAAGAACCGACATTTTGGTGGCGCCCAAGTCTTCCAAATTCTTTCCCATGGTTCAAAGAGAGTAGCTCCCAAGAACAAACCCTCATATGCCGCCTTAGCCGAATATTGTCCATTAGATGAAAGCTTCCAGATATGTTTGTCCCCCTTTCCAGGTTGCAAAACAATGCCTGAAAGGGTATCACACAACTGGAACACACCAATTATCAGTCCAACAGTAATAGCCCCTTGAATGTCTGCTATCCAAGCCCGGTTATTAAGTGCCCCCTTGACTGTACGCTGTTTGATCTTTCTTTTAGAAACGACAGCAAACAGTCGAGGAGCCAAATCTGCGATGCACTGACCATGCAGCCACCTGTCAGTCCAAAACAGGGTGTGCTCGCCATTACCAACTTCGGTGATAACAGCCACAGCAAAGAAGGCCTTCACCTGGTCAGGGACCTGAATAGGGAGATGCGCCCAGGGGCGATTTGGCTCTGTTTTCTGCAACCACAACCATCTCATTCTCAATGCCCAACCAAGCGTTTTTAAATCTGAAATACCTAACCCTCCAAGTTCAGTTGGGCGGCAAACCTTCACCCAAGCTACAAGACAATGTCCTCCCCTTGCTTCCTTGCGACCACGCCAAAGAAAACCACGCCTTATTTTGTCAATTGCCTTGATAGCCCAAGTTGGAAGATCTGATGCCATAACAATATATACCATCATACCAGTAAGCACATATTGAACCTGAATCCTCCTTCCTGCCCTTGTCATCAACTCCGCCTTCCAACCCGGCAACTGATCAGCAACGCGGTCAACAATGGGTTGCACTTGACTTTTGCTTAGCTTTTTCAAGGACAGAGGCAAACCTAGATATTTGCAAGGGAACTCAGCAAGGGAGCAGGGCAGCAAATTTTGAATGGTTGTCGACTCCAAGTCACCACATCTAATTGGGAGAACACTGCTCTTTTGAAGATTAGTGTTCAGACCTGAGGCTTCACCAAAAATTTTGAGGATATCCATTGTTACAGAAATGTCGCTAGCCACTGGACGGAGGAAGAGCACCACATCATCCGCATATAAAGAAATTCGGTGCTGCATATTTCCAGCCGAGAGAGGCTGTAGAAGACCTTCCCTTGCAGCTTGGGCAATCAAGTGCCCCAAAACATCTATGACCAAGATGAAGAGCATGGGAGAAAGGGGGTCACCTTGCCGCAGCCCTCGTCGATGGGAAATATATTTTCCAGGAATCCCATTCAATAAAACTTGAGTGCTCGAGGAGGATAACAGCCCACAAATTATCTCTCCAGATTTGCCCGAAGCCCAGGTGCTGTAGGACCTCCAAGAGGAAGGGCGAGGAAACTGAATCAAATGCCTTAGAAATATCCAATTTAAGAAGTATGGGGGGCTGCTTTTGTTGATGAAGATATCTGGCTGTTTGTTGTACCAACATGAAATTATCCTGTATGAAGCGCCCTTTTATGAACGCACTTTGATTTGGTGACACCATTTTCTGTAGATGATCAGCAAGCCGATTGGCCAACATCTTAGTGATAAGTTTAGCAAAACTATGCACCAAGCTAATAGGCCGAAAATCCTTGGGCTGATCCGCACCAACCTTCTTGGGAAGCAAAGTAATGTAGGCTGAGTTGAGAGATTCAAAATTCATGAACTTCCTGCTCCAAAGCGCTGAAACTGCAGCCATGATATCCTCCTTTATAACCGGCCAACAGGATTTGTAAAAACGACCTGTAAAGCCATCCGGCCCAGGGGCTTTATCTGCTGGCAGTTGCAGAATTGTCTTCCATACTTCTTCACTAAAAGGAAGATCCAAAACAGCCAAGTCCTGTGAATTGATGCCAATCTCAGCTAAATTGACAGTATGTAGCCTGTCTGAACTACTCCCAAGCAGATTTTCATAGAAATTATCAATCACTTCAGCTTTGTCCTGGTGGCTTGTACAAACATGGTCCCCGGAGATGAGATGACCAATAAAATTTTTTCTCTTTCTATGACGGGCATGCAAATGAAATAGTTTGGTGTTGGCATCACCTTCCCGGAGCCATCGAATACGTGATCGCAGCCTATCAATAGTTCTACTAAAGGAAGAAAGAGCAAGGCTGTGCTTTTTCAGATTGTTTTTCAACCACAATTCTCCTGGAGATAGGGGACGATTATCTTGAGCTATCTCAAATTGATGAAGGATTTCCCGTGCCAAGGCAAGCTGAAATTTCACATTACCAACCGTTTTGCTACTCCACCTCTGTAATCCCTTAGCGGTTGCTTTAAATTTCTGGCTTAGAGTTAAATAGGGGCAAGAGCCAGTAGGAACTGACGTCCATGCAGCGGCTACCACCTCCTGAAACCCATCCATCTTGGTCCAAAAGGACTCAAAATGAAATCTGCGCCTTCCTACTTTGTTATCCTGAAGCCCCAACAGAAGAGGGCAGTGATCAGAATCTTCTGACGCCAAACTTTGGAGCAAGCAATTAGGGAATTTATCCTCCCAGTCTACAGAACAGAGAACCCTGTCCAACTTAACCAGAATAGGAGAGTCTTGCTGATTAGACCAAGTGTATTTGCGACCATGGAGGGGAACTTCTTTGAGGGCCATATCATTAATGAAACGCCTAAACCGACCCATCATAGCTCTATTGTAGTTGGCATTATTCTTATCCTCATCTTTGTAAATCAAATTGAAATCCCCTGCTATCATCCAAGGCCCAGGACAGGCAGCCCGGATGTCACGAAGCTCCTGTAGAAACTGAATTTTATCCCCATTCCCCTGCGGTCCATAAACACAGGTCAGCCACCACGCGTGTCCATTATCCGCGGAGAATTGAATGGACGTACTAAATCTGTCAACCCTCTGAGCACCAGAGACTCCCACATGACGCCTCCAAGCAACAAGAATACCACCACTAGCCCCGGTTGATGGCAGAGACAACTGTCCTGTGAAATCAGACCCGAGGGTAGATAAAATGACCCTTTGAGACATGGCTGTGATCTTGGTTTCCTGAACGCAAACAATATCTGCACAAGAAGAGACTACCCGAGAACGCACTGCATCTTGTCTAGCGGTAGAATTTAAACCCCTCACATTCCAAATCACAATTTTTGATGGATCCATTGACACAAATAAAGAACGACCACAGAACTGACCTACATCACCAGCACCTCCTCAATCCCAGACTCCAAATCTTCAGGGAGAGACCAGTTAAACAATGCAGTCAGAGCCTGGAGATGAGAATCCGAGAGTGGCTGCCCAAACAGCTTGAAATACTTGTCTTGGGCCTGTTGAGTCAAACCTTCATGCTCATCAATGATGTTGAGGGACCTCATCGCCTTCTTCCTTGGTCTTCCCCCCAGGTCTGCAGGGATCACTTCAGCCTCGACACCAGCAAGCCGACGGCTACGGCGGGGGCAGACCCTGGGTGGCACAGACATGCCTCTATGTCTGCTGACGGAGGGGCCGGGCAGCAGGCTCGAAGTGCGTCGAGTTATCTTATCAAGGAATGCAGTCTGAGCATCTGGTGCAGCCGTCCACGAAGGAAGGAGTCCCGCAGCCGCCGGAGGGGGCACCATTGTAGCCGTCGGAGGAAGCCCCGTCGCGGCCGCCGGGGCAGCTGCCGGATGGGGCACCGTTGCAGCCGCTGGGGATGGGCCCTCCGCATCAGCCAGAGAGTAGGCCAGAGGTTTAGCAGCATCAACTGCCTGCTCACCCCCAACCATCGAGCCCACGGCAGGGGCCATCTCCGTAGAGGAGGTTGGAGGCGGAACGGCAACCACCACCCCCGCCGCCTCGCCCCCGCCCGCGGGGGTCCTTGAGTGGTGGAAGCGGCACCTAGAGTAAACCAGGAGCGGCTTCACTTGGGGTTGAGGAAGCAGCGGTGGGGTGACCAGGAGACTGAAATCAGGAATGTGAGATGAAGAATGCGGCGTCCGAGGTGAGGCCGACAAAACCGTCGCCTCCTCGGGGAAAAAACACAGAGGTGAACGCGGTGAGGCCGGAAACTCCGTCGCCTCACCGTGATCCTCAGCAACAGCCCCAACAATATCAAGCCCATCAACCTTGTTCGGCCCAGGTGAGGCCGGCAACTCCGTCGCCTCACCGTGATCCTTAGCATCAGCCCCAACAAAATCAAGCCCATCATCCATGTTTGGCCCAGGTGAGGAGTCCACTGGCCCATGGGCAGCTAGCCCAGGAGCACCAGAAACGGTCCAGGGGAGCATTAACTCCTCCACAACTGAGAACCGCATAAGCGTGGGGGAGATTACCGAAGGGGCCGCATCGTCCGACGAGAAAGGCCTGGGCAGCCGCTGGCTCCTCGTCGAAAGGGCCCTTCCGTCCATTGGCAGACACCACAGTAATAGAGGGAACAGAACCGAGGGGTTCTATCTCTGGGAGGGGTCGGACATCCAGCGCCCCCTAGAAACCCGCGATCTGCTCCGGAGGTGTCTCGAGTGTCGGGGCCATCATGATGCCGACGCTTGAAGGGGCCGCCACGTGGCCTGCGCAGGACGAGGAAGGTCCCCCCTGCTCAAGGACAGGGGGGCCATCACGGCCCCCAGTCGCCGGAGAGAGGTCGGACGGCGCGGAGGAACGGCGGCGCCGCCGTCGACGAGCAGGAGAGTCATCATCAATCCCTGCAGGAGGTGGCGGGGGGGAAGGAGCACCAGGCCCAAGCAAGATGGAGCACTTGATATCAATGGGGTAGGACAGTAATCTTTTCACCGGGGGGCCCTCCATGGAAGCGACCGGAGGTTCAGTGACCCAGAGCTCCTTAGAAGATGGGAACGCAGCCGGATCCTTGCACCATGCCGAGCATCTGAAGGTGGACAGGTCCGTCAGCCTGACAGTTTCTGGGTGAACTTGCTAGATGCAGGCCAGAGGGCTCAAGAACTGCTCCACAGTCGAGGTCTCCCAGACATGTGCTGGAATACCCCGAAGCTCAAGATCAACCAGCCATGGCAGGGACCGCCCCGATGCACCGGCCAACCGACTCCACCGCATACACAGGAGGGTGAAAGCAGGTGAGCGCAGGGGTGGCAGTCGCTGATCCATCAGGTGGTCGACGAGGCCAATATCGGGGAGGACGAGCAGATAACTCGAGTCGGAAGCTTGACGAAGCACCAGGGAGCCAGCCTCGACACCCAAACGGATAGCGAGAACCTCCGCTATCCCCCAAGCCGGGGCCAAGGGCTTCTCCCCACAGACAGTCACGATCACGGCATACGCGAGGTCCTCTTCTGCCCTAGCCATGCGATCATCCCAGCTAATAATGCAGGGGGGAGACTGCACGGGCATGACAAGTGGTTCAGGGGGAGCTACTGACGCAGAAACCGAAGGCGCAGGATCAGCATCCATGGACGAGGCGGCAGGTTGACGGAAGCAGGGTCGACGACGGCGACGAGATTGCCTCTCCCCACCATCCATGGCCGCCGCCTCAGGTCCCTGCGGCACAGCACCGCCGACAGTAGAATGCGCAGCCTGACCCAGTTCGGCCTCCACCACACCCGCCGGAATGCCGTTGCGGGGACTAGAAACAACCGGGGAATTAGCCGGGGACTGGGTTGGAGATTTGCGTCTCCAGACACGCATGACAGCATCTGAGGCACGCCCAGCACTGGTGCCGCCGATCGGGTTAGCCGCAGCGACCTTAGACACCTCACCCGCCGGAGAACCGTTGCGGAGATGAGCCACCGGTCTCGACAATGCTAGCCCAATGCGCTTCCAAACCGAGGTGCGCTCCGGAACAGCCGAGTTCATGGGACACACGTAGGACATGTGCCCCAGCGAACAGCAGCGGAAGCACCTGGGTTTCTGACGGCACAAGATGGCAGTGTGACCGGCAGACAAACAGTTGAAGCACTTGCCCACCAAATCGGCAGGGACTTTACGACGAGGAGGACGTGCTTCACGCCGGCGACGCCGACACTTGCCACGCGACACGAACTCCACCCACCCCTCTGGACCAGGCTGCTCCGCACCCCACCGCCGAGAAGCAGGAGGGCGGATAAGGACGATCCTGGGAGGCGCAGGCGCAGGGATATCTTCCGCCACGGCAGGAATCTCCGCCGCCGTGGCCGACGAAAGCGTCGAGGAGCGAAGACTAGCAGACGAGATGACGACGTCCCAGAACGACGGAGCAGAACTGTCGGAGGACATCGAGCCGGAACTGTCTCCGCCCCACCGCTCGAACTTGGAACGACCGCAAGAAAACAAGGGAGGGGAGGAATCCGTCGCCGAAGGGGAGGGGTTGGCCGCCTGTGCGGCAGAGGAGGTGGCCGCCGGGCTCGGGATGAGTTCCGACGGGGGCGGGGGGCAGGGGTAGGCGAGGCGACGGGAGAGGGAGAGACATTTGGCATATTGAAAATAGATACATAGCTTTTGCTATGCACTTAGACATACACTATGTCTACAAAAGCAATGTATCTTGAAAAGCCAAAACGTCTTACAATTTGGAACGAATGGACTACTAAATTGCAAGAACAATTTTATATAAAAAACAAAATAAGCACACAAAAAGTAGAGAGAAGGAAACATATAAACTACTCTAAACATTGCTTGTAGCTTAGTAAAATAAACCAGGGTATCTTTTTTTAAAACCCTAATCATAATAAAAACACGCAGTTCAAATGAATCACGACAAATATAATCTTGTCATGAGGAACATGTCAATTAAATATTATATCTCGATATAAATATATTACTATTTCAAAAATTCAAATGTTGATCATAAAATGCTTGTTTAGAATTCCAACTGAAAAAAAAAGATAATATGACCTCAATATCTCATCCATCTAATTAGAAATGGTGAATAAAATAATCAAAGACAAGATTGCAAATTGAAGGATACAACATTGTAGCCACATACCCGTCTATCAACAAGAAATGTTCCATTTACAACACATCCATTGGAAAACATATGGGACTGCATCAGAAGGGGCTAGATCAAAAGAAAGAATTGAAGGTCAGTAGCCAATATTCACACACAAGATCATGCGACAAAGCTCTAAATTAAAGATTGCACTAGTCTCAGGACACTGACAATGTGAGTTGGACACCCCCTTGAATTGGCAAGTCTTATCAATGTGTCATTTTCATCCAAGTCCACATTATCCTGAGCAAATCAACATATTGTAAATAAAGAAGTCCACTTAAGAGGAAAATGTACATATTTTACCTATGTACCTATGTCTGCTACTAAACCGTACTTTTAAAAAGGGAAAAGTTTAAGTGCAGGTGTGCAACCAAATAAGGTAATGTCTTTGGGTACACAACAAAATACGAATCATTTAGCAAGATTTATGAGCACATAACCATACATAATGTAACATTCAAACCATACAACTCCTTTTCTTATTGTATAAAATAGCTTTGGGCCTCTGAAGCCGACACAAAGTTTTTGGCAGATAATTAAACATCCTACTTACTAGAAACATGAGGCAACACTGCCCTTGTCAATTCCTAAAATTTAACATGAGATAACAATGAATTCGTTCACATGTAATAGAACAGAAAAAAAAACAACTATGACCAACTGAAACTATTATGACCATAATTTAGATGGCCTTGAACACAAGTAGAGCGGCCATGCCGGTGAACGCGGCCAGACTAAAAGGTCTTAGATAGAGGAGAATAGGAGATTCTATGAACCTTGGTATATTTCTTGTGTGATGAGAAGATATACAAGCATTAATAGTAATAAGTACTCCCTCTGTTCCAAACTATAAGTCATTTTGGCTTTTTCTACATACATAATTTTTTTAGAAAAAGCAGGAGAGCGGTGCTTCATTGTATTAGAGAAGAAAATAGTCCCCATACAGCCCACTCATCTCATACGGGGACCAAATGTGAGAGGTGGTTTTAGCAGCAAAACAAAGAAGAAACACTTGAGACAAATGCAACATGGCCTGACCAAAGCTACAAAGAAAACTAGATTCTACCACCAAGCTTTAAACCCTGCAGCTTCTTTGTTCCTAGGCACCAGAGACTGTTTATCTTTGAACTCCCTCAAAATCAGTGTAACCGAAGGTGCAGCAACACCCTCGAAGACACATGCATTCCTATGCTTCCAGATAATCCAAGCGCCCAGAATTATTAAATAATTCACTCCCCTCCTGTGTTCTTTCTCCACCCTTTTCATTGTCTTGCGCCACCAGTTGGCAAAGTTACACTCATTCTGCCTAGGAACAAATCCAGCTAGTCCAATTGGAGCAAACAATCTGAACCAAGCTTCTCTTGCCACTACACACGTTGTTAGTATTAGAGTGCACGGTTAGATCCAGACCCAAACGGATCTACTAACCGAAGAACGCGGAAGCATAACCACCAAAGAAGAAAACGAGAATGACACCGAGGTACGACGTTTTTTAATGAGGTTCGGCGATGTGCCTACAGCCTCGGGGCATGACTAAGGGCGTTCCTCCCCATAAAACAGCACCTACACAGGCATCCGAGCGCTCCCGCGACCTTGCCGCCACCCAAACTAGACGCCAAGTCGTCTCATGGTTACTACACGGGTTGTCTCATATTTATGGCCCCCTAGGATACAGAGTCCCCCTCCAACTCTATCCTAGCCCTTAATACAACTCAAGTCCAACTGTAACCATACTATACACATATTAGACACATATCTAACCATTAGGAGGGGTTGTATCGTCTCATCTTCTTGATCACAAAGGGGGCACTTATCTGAAGGAGAAAGCCCCCTCTTAGCAAGCCTGTCCGCTTTCCAGCATCTATTGCGGATTGCCAACCAAAAAAAAAAAAATTGTGCCTAGGTTCAAAGATCACTAATCCATAGAAGTAAGCTTTGTACGCAGACTTGGAAGAAAAAAATATGTATCTAGAAAACCCAAAACAAGTTACAATTTGGAATGGAAGGAGTAATTCACAGGATAGGAGATTATGATGGAAAGTATTGCCAGGAAACAAAATAAGTTTTTTTCTTGAATACAGAGGAGAGCTGTGTATCATCTCATTTAAGAAGGAAAAAAGGTGGCCGTGGCTCCCCTGGCGGCCGCAACGGTCCCTCCTCCGGCGGCCGCGGGCGAGCCTTCCTGTTCGGCAGCTAATGTGGGCGTCCTTCAGGTGCCTCCTACTCCGCCTGATGCCCGGGCAGTATTCTTCGACAAGATAGTTCAACGCACTACAGGCTTATTGCCTGTCCCTGCCGTCAGCAAGCATGGAAGCAAGTCGCTGCCTCCTAGGGTTTGCCTCCGCCGCAGCCGTCGGCTTGCTGGCGCCGAGGCCGATGTGGTCCCTACTGACATGGGAGGAAGAGTACAGAAGAAGGCGATGAGGTCTCTCGGCATCATTAACGAGCATGAAGGTATAAATCAACAGGCCCAGAACGATTATGCAAAGCTGTTTGGGCAACCGCTCTCAGACTCTCATCTTCAGGCTCTGACTGCATTGTTTTTTTGGTCTCTCCCTGAGGAGCTGGAGCCTGGGAGTGATGATGTACTGATGGTGAAAGTCTGAAAGTCTGATTTGGGTCAGATTTGTGGTCGTTCTTTAAGTGTGTTTAATGGATCCAAAAATTTTTGATTTGGAATGTTAGGGGTCTGAATTCTACTGCTAGGCAAGGTTCAGTGCGCTCTCTGGTAGCTTCGTCTTGTGCAGATATTGTTTGTGTTCAGGAGACTAAGATCACAGCCATATCCCAAAGGGTCATTCTCTCTGCTCTCGGGTCTGATTTCACAGGATACTTAGCTCTGCCCTCTGTTGGGGCTAGTGGTGGTATTCTAGTCGCTTGGAGGCACCATGTGGGCATCTCAGGTGCTCAGAGGGTGGACAACTTTAGTATGTCCATTCAATTCTCCACGGATAATGGACAGACATGGTGGCTGACCTGCGTTTATGGACCACAGGGGAATGAGGATAAGATTCAGTTTCTTCAGGAGCTTCGTGACATCCGGGCGACCTGTCAAGGGCCTTGGATGATAGCAGGAGATTTCAATTTGATTTACAAGGATGAGGATAAGAACAATGTCAACTACAATAGGGCTATGATGGGTCGGTTCAGGCGATTCATTAATGATCTGGCCCTCAAAGAAATCCCCCTCCATGGTCGCAAATACACTTGGTCTAATCAGCAAGATTCCCCTACTTTGGTAAAATTGGACAGGGTTCTTTGCTCTGTAGACTGGGAGGATAAATTTCCTAATTGTTTGCTTCAAAGTTTGGCTTCAGAAGACTCTGATCACTGCCCACTCTTGCTGGGACTTCAGAACAATAAAGTAGGAAGGCGCAGATTTCATTTTGAGTCTTTCTGGACCATACTGGATGGTTTTCAGGAGGCGGTGGCTGCAGCCTGGATGTCAGTTCCTACTGGCTCCTGCCCCTACTTAACTCTAAGCCAGAAGTTTAAGGCAACCGCTAAGGGATTACAGAGATGGAGCAGCAAAAAGGTTGGTAATGTGAAGTTTCAGCTTGCCTTGACGCGGGAAATCTTGCATCAGTTTGAGATTGCTCAAGATAATCGTTCCCTATCTCCAGGAGAATTGTGGCTGAAGAATAATCTGAAGAAACACAGTCTTGCCCTTGCTTCCTTGAGTAGAACTATTGATAGACTGCGGTCACGCATTGGCTGGCTCCGGGAGGGTGATGCCAACACCAAGCTCTTTCACTTGCATGCCCGTCATAGAAAGAGGAAGAATTTTATTGGTCGCCTCATTTCCAGGGATCACATCTGTACAAGCCACCAAGACAAAGCTGAAGTTATTAATAATTTCTATGAAAATCTGCTTGGAAGTTGCACAGACAGGTTGCAAACTGTCAATTTGGATGAGATTGGAATTGATACTCATGACTTAGCTGATTTGGATCTTCCCTTTAGTGAGGAAGAAGTATGGAAGACAATTCTGCAACTGCCATCAGATAAAGCCCCTGGGCCGGATGGCTTTACGGGACGATTTTACAAATCCTGTTGGCCAATCATAAAGGAGGACATCATGGCGGCAGTCTCAGCACTCTGGAGCAGGAAATTTATGAATTTTGGCACTCTCAATTCAGCCTACATCACTCTGCTCCCAAAGAAAGATGGTGCAGATCAGCCCAAAGACTTCCGGCCCATCAGCTTGGTACACAGCTTTGCTAAACTTATCACCAAGTTATTGGCTAGTCGGCTTGCTGGTCGTCTTCAGCAAATGGTTTCGCCGAATCAAAGCGCGTTCATAAAGGGGCGCTTCATATAGGATAATTTTATGTTGGTGCAACAAACAGCTAGATATCTTCATCAACAAAAACAGCCCCGCATACTCCTTAAATTGGATATTTCTAAGGCATTTGATTCGGTCTCTTGGCCCTTTCTCTTGGAGGTCTTGCAACACTTGGGTTTTGGGCAAATCTGGAGAGATATTATTTGTGGGCTGCTATCTTCCTCAACCACCCAAGTCCTCTTGAACGGGGTCCCCGGGGAATGTATTTCCCATCGGCGAGGTCTACGGCAAGGTGACCCCCTTTCTCCCATGCTATTTATCTTGGTCATGGATGTTTTGGGACACTTGATTGCCCAAGCGGCAAGTGAGGGTCTTTTACAGCCTCTCTCAGCAAGAAATCTGCAGCACCGAATCTCTCTGTACGCGGATGATGTGGTGTTCTTCCTCCGACCTGATGTTAGTGACATTTCTGTGACAATGGATATCCTCCAAATTTTTGGTGAAGCTTCGGGTCTGAATACAAACCTTCAAAAGAGCAGTGTACTGCCTATTAGGTGTGGTGACTTGGATTTGACAATTACTCAGAACCTGCTGCCTTGTGCCCTTGCTGAGTTCCCTTGCAAATATTTAGGTTTGCCTCTCCTTGAAAAAACTAAATAAGAGTCAAGTACAGCACTTTGTTGACCGCATTGCTGATCAACTGCCGGGCTGGAAGGCGGAGTTGATGACACGAGCAGGAAGGAAGATTCAGGTTCAATTTGTGCTCACTGGTATGCTTATATACATTGTCATGGCGACTGACCTCCCAGCTTGGGCTATCAAAGCAATTGACAAAATAAGGCGTGGCTTTCTTTGGCGTGGTCGCAAGGAAGCGAGGGGGGGACATTGTCTTGTAGCATGGGTAAAGGTTTGCCGGCCAACTGGGCTCGGGGGACTAGGAATTTCAGATTTAAAAACCCTCGGCTGGGCATTGAGAATGAGATGGTTGTGGTTGCAGAAAACAGAGCCAAACCACCCCTGGGCTCATCTCCCAATTCATGTCCCTGATCAGGTGAAAGCCTTCTTTGCGGTGGCTGTTATTTCTGAAGTTGGTGATGGTGAACATACCCTTTTTTGGGCTGACAGGTGGCTGCATGGTCAGAGTATATCAGAGCTGGCTCCTCGACTTTTTGCTGTCATCTCTAAGAGACGGATCAAGCAGCATACAGTCAAGGAAGCTCTCAATAACCGGGCATGGATCACAGACATACAGGGGGCTATAACTGTTGGAGTAATGGTTGACGTTCTCCAATTATGGGATATCCTTTCAGACGTTGTTCTACAGCCAGAAAGGGAGGATAAACATATTTGGAGGTTCTCTTCAAGTGGCCAATATTCAGCCAAGGCGGCTTATGAGGGTTTTTTCTTAGGTGCTACTCTCTTTGCACCATGGGAAAGGATTTGGAAGACTTGGGCACCACCAAAATGTCGTTTCTTCATGTGGTTAGTGGCACACAATAAGTGTTGGACGTCGACCGCCTTGCGTCGTCGTGGATTGCCTTGCCCAGATGGCTGTCCACTCTGTGATCAAGAGCAGGAAACAATCAACCATCTCCTGGTTCAATGTGTCTTCGCTAGGGAGTTCTGGTTTATTTTGCTACGGCAGGTCGGTCTCCAGGCCTTGTCCCCACAACCTACTGAAAATTCCTTTCTTGATTGGTGGGAGAGAGCTAGTAATGCTACTTCTAGTTTGGTGAGGCAAGGGGTTAACTCCCTAATCATTCTGGGGGCCTGGATTCTTTGGAACCATCGTAATCGTTGTGTTTTTGATGGAGCAGCTCCTAGTGTTGCTGGGGCTTTAGTAGTGGCTGGGGAGGAGCGCCGGTTGTGGACCACAGCAGGAGCCCGAGGCCTTTCCCTCTTGTCAGCCCATCTCCCTGGAGATTAGTGTTTTGGATCTGTGTGGGTCGTTTTGCAGCCATCTTAGGTGTATGTGTTTTTTTTTTTTTTTTTTTTTTTTTTGGCTGCAGTAGCGTGTGTGGGTGAGTTGTGTTTGGGTGTCTTGTAAGTGTTGGGTACTTTTACCCTCTTTCTTCTTAATACAATGAGACGAGATCTCCTGCGTTTCAAAAAAAAAAAAAAAAAAAAGCAAGTACAAGAAGACATCGCACATATCTCACACACACACACAAGTATTTGCAAACAGAACTGACTTCCTAAAATAACCTGAATGGAGGAAGCATTAATTTCAGATGCTACTTCTACTGTCTGTATTGATACCAAAAAAAAAAACGAGAAGATAAGAAACTTTTCATTTTGACTGACAATCCATTTTTACCTTTGACATGCATATGCGATGTAGCTAAAATTTAAAGTTTTACACCTATGGCTTCTCTACAGAACAATCTTTACCAAAAAAGCTAAATGCTTTACTGTTGCACTCTCTGAAGGTAACTAGTAACTGCAATACCACAGTTCACATTTTGTATGACAATTAATGGAAACACATAGTGAGTGCAAAGTAATGGGAGGTGCACAAACTTGAAGTTCAAATGGTTTTGAAGCTTTCCCCCTGAAGACACCCGTAGGACATTTCATAGCCAAATCCTCAGATATAAAACCAGTGCCAGTGGTATGGATCAAAGGCTTGCCTTCAGCATTGAGGACAATGTTTCCATATTCATCCTGAAATGTCTCATTACCATAATAACATTATATGTCAACAAAATGCGATCACAAACATGATGGGAGGAAGTGATTTACCTTGCAAGGTACATCTTCAATCATTGTAATATTAACATTGGATAGGTCAACATCAAGCTTGATACTTCTTGACAATATCAAAGCAAAGCTGCAAATAGAATATTACAATATTAGCTTTGTGTGTAGGAGAGAGATAAAATGAACAAAGACATGTATCATGTATTGGCAACTAATAGTTCCTTTGTACATGAGATAAAAGTTGCAGAGGGCTCTAACATTCCAAGAGAAGTAACAGTGGAACATGGAGGACGATAGTAAATCACATATAAGAGGCTTCTTTGTCTCAGTGGCACAAAAACTTGACTTATCAAGAAAACCTTACTCTAATAGATTATCACAATTACAGTGCATTTGGTTTGTATCACGGAACCATTCCCTTATATACACTGCTGTTTGGTTTACGTAGCAGAATCACATCATCCATCACGGAGTTGTTCTGTATTTCTCAAACCAAACGAGCAGTTAAATACCAGGGCCAGGCTGATACATGCTTTGTTAGATATTTGATATTTTTGACATTTCCAATATTTCTGCCTCGCCCATCACAGTTTATCCCCAACACACCCTTAGTTTCAACAAATGCTCTGGCATAATGCAGAGCATCTTGCGCCTTAATGCGAACGAAAAGCTTAGATGCCATCAGCTTATTCAGCACAGCTAGCACAATTATTTAAGTAAAAGAGTATATTTGGCAGTTAGTATTGTAATTTGGTATCGTCATATGTATTCGGGGAGGCAACTTGCACACAAGCCTCTGTACTCTATATATACTGCCCAAGAGGCTCAATGCAATCAGACGCATTATAAACAATCCTTCCTGCTCTCATGGTATCATGAGTTTAGGTTTCGCTCCTGAACCCTAATGCTTCCGCCGCCACGTGGCCCAAGGGAGATTGATCTCTGCCCGGGGAAGCGCCCTCGTAGGAAGGTTTTGGCCATCTAGTTAATCCACTGCCACAGCGTCCATCTTACTGCAGCAACAGATCAAAGGAGTGCTTAACATGGGTGCTGCCGAACTACTCGCCGTGGGCAGCGTCTGGCCACCATGAAGCTCATTGTCGTCCTCGAGCCACCCAGGACCACATCCATCGTCACGATCCATCACAATGGCGCACCATGCTGCACAAGGTTCTTTCGACATGCTTCTGTGTTTTCCTCTTTTTTCCGATCAGAGATCGAGAATTGCATCACCCAATCTACCAATCCCTTGAAGTTCAATCGACTATTCTCCTAGGGACGAGGTTGTCGTTGCGCGCCCTCCCAGGAAGCAATGACAATGCTCGAGGTCAAGCCATCTTCCCGGTCACCGCCTATCCATGATGGCGCCACCCATGCTGCCAGTCCTCATCACACTGGCTCTTCAATCCAAGTCCATGACAACCGCCACCATCACCAGGACATCGCCACCAATATCACTACTGGATGACATGTGAGCACTCGTTGATATGTTGGAGCAGCCACGTCTACCGTCACCATTCAATCATCTCGTTGTCCTGCCAGTGACATCAATGCAACGTCGCTACGGGGGTTGTTGTTAGTCTTCAATTTCTCCAGTATAACAGTTTGTTACAATGATACAAATTATGAGCAGACATGAGACACAATACCCCATTTTTTGATAATACTGCTATTCAGAGCAGCCACATAAAGAAGTGAAATATAAGCACATAGTTTGAATACTTTAGGGAACATGATTCCATTTTCCTTTCATTACAGTTTGTAACATTTCTTAGCAATAAAGTAGTTTTTTTGCTACTTCTTCCATTAATTTCATTTTTATTGGGTCACAAGGCATGTACACGTGTAGAAATACTATGCTATACATAAAATCAAATTTGTTTACTACAGAATTTGTAAGAGTACAGTGCAGATATTACATGACATGTAAAAAAAGGGCAGACCCAGTGCCAGAGGCTCCCACATGAGTGGGGTCTAGGGAAGGGATAAACCGAGACAAGCCTTTCCCCCACAAAATCTGCGGAGAGGCTGCTTCGAACCCACGACCTGGTGACTCAGTGAGATAGCTCTCACCACTGCACCAGGCCTGTACACAAGCAGAAATACTATGCTATACATAAAATCAATTTTTTTACTACAGAATTCATAAGAGTATAGTGCAGAAATTACAACAGACACATCTGCAGTACAGCCACAACATATGTTTGTGCTACCAGTCAATGTTCCTGGGCGATGTTTGTGCTAGGCTTTCAGGCTCCACCTATCGCCGAGTGATAGCCTTAATTAACTGGTATGAGAAGGAAAATGATGAAAGGAGAGGAACCAATGGAGCTAGTATTATTCTCTTATTGAAACTCACAAAGGTTACATTTCAGGGATAGTGCAGGCCCTTTTACAGGACTTGCAAACCGACACTAAGGGACAGCAGTATCCCATATTCTAGTACATATACAGCTATTGCTGCAGTGTATTATGGCCTCCTTTTTACTGCAGCAGCAACAGTAAGTTTCCAGAGAACAGTAGCAGCCCCTCCCAGCACTTGTTGACGCGTATGCAGTGCATGCACTTCAGTAGTCAAAATCATGTTGCCTTTTACTCAAGAAAACAAATTACTTATCAAACATCGAGGTGTTGCCTTAGTGTTTCTAGGTGATTTTACTTGTTCTGCTCAATTAGAGCCATGCCTTGTTTAATAAATGGAATATGACATACTACAACAAAGAATGGCATAATCAAGCTGTTATGTGGCCAGTTGGGATGGAGATGAGAGGGCGTGCTACAGTACCGTGGAGCTACAGTGCCCGCGGGTACTGTTCACGGCGGCGGCGGCTAGGGCTGCAAGGGCGCTGGGGGAGGCCGGCCGCGGGGCTTCGCCCACGGCCGGCAAGAGAGAAGGGATTTCCTTCTAATCTCTTGCTTGATTAGATTGATACATCTCCTCTCATTATATAGAGAGGTCTGACTTAGCCCCTAAGCAAGCGACTAATTAACTCTAATGGGCTAAGGCCTAATAGGCCCTTGACTCCTCTAACACAAGCACCCCACCTGGACATGCAGCTCGTCCTCGAGCTGCGACCTAACAATGATGCTAACTATGGCTCCACTAGACACAAACTGAACACCTAAGAACAAGCCTTTTACATCTCGGCTTATTTCAAATAAACTCGACTCTTTATTCTTGACTCCTAAAGATGCGGCGGACACCCTCCGCGTGCTGGACAGGCTCGTGTAGCCGCCTGGATCCCATGGAGACCATCGAAACGAGAGGGTTGCACGCAGATGCGGTGTTCGGAATCAATCGCATAGCGGCGACCGGCCGGAGACGACCTCGTGGCGGCCGACAATAAACGCAGCAGCGGCGCGCAAGGCGATCGTCTCCGCCGGTGACAAAGAGGAGTACGCTTCTTCTATCATCACTCCCATAGAATGAGAGCGCGCGCGCTCATGGAACGGCACCATGCTCGCGCTGGAGGCGAAGAACGGGTCGGCGCGGTTGTTGTTGGCCGTTCGATGGGGCGAGGTCGTGCCCCCCCTTGCCGAGGTCCATCGCCGTCAAGGCCGCCTCATGCATCTGCCGGCGCATCTCCTGCAGTCGGCGCCGCGCTAGGAGGCCGCGTGCTACAGCCTGTAATCGCACCGTCGTAGACTGACAATCACTCTTCTGCGCAAGCGCCACTTGCACGGTTGCTGCTGCAGTGGCGATCTGATCGCCCGGCTGTGCACCTGTGAATGGAGGCACCGGCATGCCGAGGACGAGGCCCGCCGACTGCGCGCCCGCGGATGAGGGCACCGACGCCGGATGTTATGTGGCCAGTTGGGATGGAGATGAGAGGGCGTGCTACAGTACCGTGGAGCTACAGTGTCCGCGGGTACTGTTCACGGCGGCGGCGGCTAGGGCTGCAAGGGCGCTGGGGGAGGCCGGCCGTGGGCGGCGGGGCTTCGCCCACGGCCGGCAAGAGAGAAGGGATTTCCTTCTAATCTCTTGCTTGATTAGATTGATACATCTCCTCTCATTATATAGAGAGGTCTGACTTGGCCCCTAAGCAAGCGACTAATTAACTCTAATGGGCTAAGGCCCAATAGGCCCTTGACTCCTCTAACACAAGCACCCATGAGTTTCGTGACCTAATTCATCTTCCTCCATGTCTAACAATCCCAAAAAACTAGGCCAACCTAGGAAGAATTAGGTGGTATTTTATGAAGAAAAGAGGCACCCAGATACGACTCGATGCTGGGTGGTCTAGGCATACATCCACATCCTTGACCAAATGAGCAAGCTCAACTTACTTCAAGTCATAAACCGCTCTAGGCACAAAATGCCTAGGTGTAGGCAAGGCAGTGCTGCTCCACCTAGCACCTAGGCATCACCTAACGCTGCTTTGCGAAAGACAGGCAACACATATTTTTGACACAAACAGCAAATGGAACCTTGCCCTTACAGCTGTGCGTATTCGAGTGTTTGCATGCATACTGGGTTGCCATAAACAGCAAATGTAATCTTGCCCTTACAGCTATGTGTTTTGATGTTTACATTGCACACTAATTCCATTTGCTGCTCGTGCACTGATTTTTTTTAGAAAAGATAACGCAAAGCAATATTACTTTTATCATATCAAAACACTTGGACCATACCATAACAAGAAGAGCTTTTTACCTGTATGGCCCTGGAAAAAATGTATCTTCCTTGTATGGCCCTTTTTTATTTGAACTTACCTGTATGGCCCCAAAACGAAATTCCGTTCCTTCTATGGCCTTCCGTCCGTTTTTGCCACTTGACGGTGTTAAGTCAAGAGTAAAATGACCATTTTACCCCTGGCAAAAAAAATGCAGTGTTTTGTATTTGGAGTAATATTACGCAAATAAGTTCACACATAACAGTACAAGGAAGATGCATTGGTACCTGGTACCTGTTACTGTATGTAGTAACTTCATTTGACTGTGACCTGTTGCACAGTGCAAACTAGTAGACCATAATACGTTCGGACTACCATTATTATTTATTAGCCTTGTACTAGTCACGAAACGACAAATTAAAAAAAAAATCGATATGTAAGGTCTATGGAGCACACTTCTATCCATGACCATGTGGTTGTTTTACTTAACCAAATCTGTTTGCGGACTGTGGTTGCTTCGGATCAGCAACATTTGGACCACCAATCATGTGCCAGCTGCGAGTGACCCATTGTTTGCAACGAAAAAACAAGCGTGGCAGAACAAGGAACGACACCGGGCGAACCGGCATTCACAAATCACAATTCACAGCGTGAGGACATGAAGGAAAAGTCGATCGACACCACCGCGCTAGGCGCTGCGTCATTGCTTTGCCTGCCGCCCATGCACTGTGGCTCGCTACGCGTGCCTGGGCATCCGCGGCGTGGCGCATGCATGCATGCATGCAGACTGCGGGGGTGTTTGTGTACTTGATTATGTGTCTTATTATGTACTGTTATGTGTAAACTTATTTGCGTAATATTACTCCAAATACAGAACACTGCATTTTATTTTTTTGCCAGGGGTAAAATGGTCATTTTACCTTTGACTTAACACCGTCAAGTGGCAAAAACGGACCGAAGGCCATAGAAGGAAGGTAATTTCATTTTAGGGTCATACAGGTAAGTTCAAATAAAAGAGGGCCATACAAGGAAGATGTATTTTTTTCAGGGCCATATAGATAAAAAGCTCCAAGAAGAAAATAGACAAGTGACTCCACGGTAACCAGAAGTAAAGCTTATTTGCCATCTTGGCACCAACTGTTAACTTATCTAACAAACATGTGATACATAACCAGAAGTAAAGCTTACCAAAAAACCGGTAACGACGCAAGCCCAGAATAACACCACTATCAATGACTCCACGATAATGTTGATAGTGTGCAGCAAAGCTATGATCATCGTTGGTATCACTAGTTATATTTGCAAATTTCACAATGAGGACATTATCATCACCAAGAACTGTCTGTAGATGATTAGTTGTGCTCTCTATGTATGGTCCCTAATATACAATCAGTAAATAAAATCAACCATCATTCATTTCCACCATGTACCCAAACAAAAATATAAGTGAATAAATTAGTATTTATTTTGGTCAAAACAAAAGGAAGGAAATATGTAGCCTTGTGATATTTGATGAGGAGTCATATAATTATTTCAACGAAGATTTGCATACATCCAAAACTTGATTTTGCATCAAAAATAAGTAGAACCAATAGGAAGCACAAAGTAAAAAAAAATCATTAGGCATGATAAGCTAAGTATTGCATCAAATTAATGAACAAAAATAAATGACATGATCAATAACTGAAAATTTTTTCTTCTTCTTAATATAATGATTTGCAGCTCTCTTGCGTGTTCAAGAAAAAATAACTGGGGAAAATAACAGAAAATGATGAGCATAGGAAAAGCTTATACCTAAAAAATATGTCATAGAAGTACTAAGATTTCTACAAACCTTAAATGTTGTAACAACTGAACCATCTTTTATATCAACATTACAGTAGTAAACCTTTTTCTTGCTTGGATCCCAATCAAGGTTCTGCATGTATCAAGTGAACAAAGGTTAGAAACCCAATGGAACTAATGTTATCATGTACCACATCTAGATTATCGATTAATAAAAAAGAAAAGGAAAAGATAAAACAAGAAAAGTTATCAATTCATGATCATATTCGTATAAATGGTTGTGAATATGCTATGAGTCAGATTTGGTAGACTAGGTCAGCAGTCCATTTGCTTCTATAACTACAAGCATAAACAGCTATTTACCAAACACCAATGATTTGCCGTAAATATAAGAAAGAATAACCAAATTTCATGACTTGTCCATAAAGCAGAGAAGCAGGTAGCAGCATAATATGAGATGCCACAAAGCCACAAGAAAACTATGACCACATGCATGAGTTCAAAATGATATAACCTTTACTCTATCTGATGCAGCCACATATTTGTGACCGAATTTGTGCCATATTTCTGACTCGAAATGAGGCATGGACAGAAACTTCAAGGACCCAATATCTTCTTCATTTAGCACATCTTCTATCTTGTTGCTGTATGAAGAGACAAGAAATTAGCTGATACAAAATAAATATAAGATGAACATGCTTTTTGAAGCAAGCAATAGATATTCTATAACTGAAACCATATGACCTGACAATACTATTTTGCAAGATACTTGCATTATTATGTTACGGCTAGGAGGTGCTGGACCAAGATTCCTTAGGTGGTAGTCGTGGTCTGTCTCAGGCCGAGGCTTGAAGCCTCTGCGCCCTATGGTGGAAGAGGAGGGATTAGAGAGAGGTAGAGGGGTAGGAGAAGATTATTTCATTTCTTATCCTCCTGATTATGATCACCTGGTTAATAAAGACATACAAGCAAGTGCTAATCTCTCTCAATTTTTCCTAATTCTCATGATATTATCCTTCCTGGGCTGATTGCTAATCAGCTGGCTGCTTACCTTTCCTGTTTCTACACTGACAAGGCTTTCCCAAAGATTTATATTAACAGGCTCCATTAGATATATTGCCGCTACATGCGTAAATTTGAAGCAGTTCACCCTACTAAAACGGAAACTTACCATCCAAGGTAGCCAAAGATCATAAAAACCTTTGAAAACTCCAGTTGTCCAAGTGCTAACATTTGAGGGCTTGCATTTTGAGAACCAGCACTTGCATTTTGAGAACCACTAGAGGCCCTCTGAGGTTTTCCCACCTCAAGATTCAATGGTGTCGCAGCCAGAAATCTTCCTGAGGGGGCAACCATTTGCTCAAGACACACAGAAATTGCTTGCGCCGGATTGTTCAGCACCCAAGAAGGAACACTCGCAGCCTGGTTGAAGATCCCAACAGTTGATTGGCAGGCGCCGCATCCCATAAGCTGTTTGCCATCAGATGACGATCCTTCTGCTTTGTTAAGATAAGATATCATAAATACGAAACACAGTGTTATGAATGAAAGAGCATCATAAATAAACTAGATATAGCATTTGATTAAGCTTAAACAAAAGATTCATAAAAATCTGATTGATGTAGGTGTACACAAAAAAAACACCCAGAGTGAAGCAAAAAGTTCAAAACCCCATCGCACTTGCTGTCCTTAAATTAATTGATAAAAAATTCCAAAATCGTTGACATTTAGAACAACATTTACAAAACCATGGGCACAATGCCTGATATTCTAGAAGTCCAAAAAAATATGAAAGACATAGAAAAGGCAGAGAGATACAGTATGGTGACATTAGGCAATGTTGGACCGTTTGATGACGGATGGATCTTGTGTCCAGAACATTTTCTAAAGCATCGGTGGGCAGTACATCTGCTATACACTGCTTCACAGTACAATGAACATTTTAAAAAAACAAAAACGTATGGACAAAAAACTAAATTTCCAGTATTAATCTTTTCAACTCACTTTTCTACTGAACAATGCCAGCTTCCAGAAGTTCTATCGAACAATCTTGACAACCAGCAAACTAATGAAAACCCCATGAAGGAACACAACATGGCCAAAAAGGGAGCAAGAACCAAAACTCCAAAAGTATCTCTGAAACATGTACAGTACCCAGAGCCACCAACATAAATACTCCTTTTTCGGTATAATATTTTAAACTTACGTTCCTAAGTACGCCATAATGACGGCTTCTGCAAGTTAAATCTGAACAACCAGCAAATTAATAAAGACCGCATGAGAAAAGCAACATCGCCAAAGAGGGGCCAGAATCACATCCCCTGAAACGTGTGTTCAGTACTAAGACTGACTCCAACGAAGTTACCCGAACCTAAAAATAGGTCACGCACAGTGTTTTGGGTAGAAAAAACATACTCCAACGCATAACCCAAACCGACGACGCATTTTGCATTCGATCGGTTCCGAAACGCAAAAAAGCGTCTCGACGAAGAGACGACGCAAATCCTCGAGCCGTCCGCTCTCCTGCCTCCGCTCCTCCCTCTCTCTGCCTTCCCTCCATTTCTCTCCCTTCCCCTCTCCCTTCCCTCCAGAAGCGGCGACGCCATCCCCAGCCCCCGCTCCGCCGCTGCCGCTCCTCGCCTGGTCCTCCCCGGCCCCCTCCCCCGAGCCCTCCACCTCGCCCACGGGCTGGGACGCGGTCTGGGCGCTCGAGGACCAGCAGCGCCGCCGCCTCCACCGGATCTGGGAGCGCGGCGTCGCGTGGAAGACCTCTTCCGCCTCGACCACCGGATCTGGGACGGTCGCCGCTTCCAAGGTCGATGCGCGCGAGCTCAGGCACCGCGCCGTGCGCCGATTCGCCGAGGTCTACACCGCCGCGGGGGAGGATGACAAGGCCGCCGTCGACGCCGCCGTGAGGCACCTCTACGTGCCGCCATCTAGGAGCTCATTGATCTCGGCATCCAAAGGTACCACGACTCGCGGATCTGCCCTTGCTCGCTGCTCACTGCTTGCTCAAATCTTTTATTTGATTTTCTCGCCGGATCTCGCGCCGGAGCTCGCAGCTCGGTGGCCGGACGCAGGGAAGACGAAGATGGAGGAAACTGGGCTTCTTTTGGGGTCGCTGTTGGAGAAGGGAGGATTTGGGTGCGTGACCTTTTGCCTGTACGTGACCCAAATGCTCCGAATAGGTCTCGTGTTTGCGTTTTCCCATTGGAGACAGTCTAAGAGCCATTAAAAAAGACACATACACAAATATGTCTCCAAAACGTTAGGCAAGAAAATGCCGTTCAGACTCGACGTACTGCATTCCCCTTTGGTCGCTAAAGAGACAGAGCAGAAAAAGAAACGACCTGCCACCGCGCGCACGATAGCTGATGCGAGGGTCTCGCTGTCCGCCGTCCGCCCCGACGGCCCCCGGCGACCCCGCGCCGCGACCCGGCGCAGCGCCCGAACCGCCGCTCCCGCGTCGACGCTGGCCAGCGCCGCGCGCGCCGCTGGTGAGCCGGGGTACGGCTCCGCCCCCCACGCGGCGCACAGCCCCTCCAGCTCCGCCTCCACCGCGTCCGGGAGCACCCCGCCCGGCGGCGGGACAAGCATCACGCCGCAGGATGCCGCTGCCCGTGCACGTGCCCGCGAAGAGGAGGAAGAGAGAGAGAGTGTAGCGGAGGAATGGAGGAGATTGTCGCAACCAACGAGGCAAGGACGACGCAGCGGCGTGGGACTGAGGCAGCAGTGAACTAGGGACCGATACATTTGCATCATAGCCCAACGAGTTCTATGTAGTTACAACTGGGTCAGTCACGGACGAACAGCGGCTCTGTACCTGGCTCTTTTAGTAATACACATATTATTGTGAAGGGTTTTTTATCAAAATGCAAATGGTTGCCTATTTGCCATGCCAACCCCCGAGCAGAAGCGGGACGTGGCTTGTGTATGAGAAGGAAAGCCAGTATGAGCTGCTGCATGCTTGTCATCCTACGGATGGGAGTTGACGGGTACGTATCGTCGCTGGTTCGTGAACAAGTACCGTTGGCTGGTTGGTGTGAGAGAAAAATACTGTTCTGACTGAAAATTTACGATCGTTTACGACAAGTCATAGCCAAACAAACAGGCTGATAAATTTCCAAACAGTAGCATGAAGCTTAAATTTGGCACAGGCCCGTCTTGAAAAAGCCTGACCCTAACGATGCGGCCGGCCTCACACGTGCCCGTGCTGGCCCGGCCCCGTAGTCAGATGCACGTGCTGGGCCGAAAAGGTCGACCCGTAGTCTTGCCGGCCAGCACGCGGCCCGTTCAACAGGTGACGCAGGCGCACGCGGCTCATGACCGTCGGATCGCGGAGGTGGGGCGTGAGCCGTTGGATCGCCGGGTGGCCGGGGGCTCCGGTATATAAGCCGTCCGATGTGGCCGCTCTCCCCACTCTCCTCACTCGTAACCCTAGCCTCTTGTCCTCTCCACTCCGGCTCTCCCCGCTCACTCTATCGCTCGTCCGCTCCTCGCCGCACTCGTAACCTTAGCTTCTCGCCTGTTCGCCGCTCTTCGCCGCACTCGTAACCTAGGCTCCTCGACGCCGTCACTATGGAGTCTTCCGGCGGGTAAGGGGTCGGTTCCGGTGGCCGGTGGTTCCCTCTTCTCCCTTTCCGCCCTTAATCTCTCTCTTCTCCCTCAGATCCGGTGGTTCCCGCCCTCAATCTTCATCTGTTCCCTTATTCTTCATCCCTGAACGTCGATTGAGCCTCGTTCTCGGCATCCTCGCCGCATCTCCGTCATCTGTCCGTCGTCCACATCGCTGGCTGCCGCCACCTCCGGGGCTCCGGTCTCCGTTTAGTGAACTTAGTCATATTAGATCTCTTTGAATTGTCGTGCTGAGTTCATTGAGGGGTTTTGCCAGTTTAGTGTCTGGGCCGGCACGGGCACGCTAAGTCTGGAGTCGACATGGCACGACATGGTACGCTCCAGGAATGATAGTACCGTGTTCGGGCACGAGGTCGGCACGCGGTGACGACACGACAAGACGCAACACGGTTCATCACCCGTGCCTAGCGTCTTGCCGATGCCAGCGCGTGCCGTGCCAGGCGTCTGCGTGTCGGAGGCGGGCTAGTCGTGCCGCGCGCAGCAACACGTTTGGAAAACTATATCGACGCGAAATCTATCAACACGGCAGAGAGACTCAAGGACAGGCTTGGCATCCTACGGACGAGGGTCCAGGAGTCACGGGCATGACTCGTCGCCTCAAATATTGCATCAAAGTAGGCCTGGATTCTTTTAGAATTTCGACAATATAAATTCATTGCAGAAACGTTTTAAAATTTAGGTTTTTTTAAGAAACGTTTAGAATTAGAACTATTTTATAAAATTGTTTGGCTAGTGAACTATATTCTAATTTATAGTAATATTGTCTGGATTCTTTTAGAATTTCGACAATATAAATCCATTGCAGAAACGTTTTAAAATTTAGGGTTTTTTAAGAAACATTTAGAATTAGAATTATTTTATAAATTTGTATGGCTAGTGAGCGATATTATAATTTATAGTAATATGCATGTCATATAAATAAAAGTATGCTTCAAAACTTCTAGATTCAAGGAACAATATAAATATGACCTATTTTACTTAGTGCACTAAAAACTATAATTGAAACGATGGCTCCGTTCGGCTGGCAGAATTTTGGCGTCAAAATTTTGGCTGAAAAACATTGTTCCGGCTGAATTGTTGTAAGAGAAAAACACTGTTTCGACTGAAAAAAGAAGCCGAACAAGTCGAATATAGGGTAAGTCGAACAGGGCCAATACGATTAGTAGCTTAGAAGGAGAGAAGAGAATCATTGCGAAACTAGGATATAGCCGTTTCGAGAGCTAGTGAAGAAAACGAGAATCGTTTTAAAGAGAAACAGTGCTTTTGTTCCAAGTGTGTTTGAATAGATTTTGATGATTTTGACACGAAATTGACAGCCTGTTCGTTTGCTTGTATCTGACTTATAAGCCATAGCTTATCAGCCAACTAATAATATTTTTCTCTCACACCAAATCAGCCAATAGTACTTTCAGTCATGACTTATAAACTAAATCAGCCCAAACGAACAGGGCGTGAATCGTTTCGAGTATGCAAACAAACCCTTACTCTTTTCGTCAAAAAAGTATCATTCTTATTTCTCAAAAGAATAAATATTTTTTAGCATTAATCAAATATATATGGATAATATTAATAATATTCATAGTGCATACTAAATATTACTAAATTAACCTTTGAATACATTTTTATAATAAACTTACTTGAAGATACAAATGTTGTTATTATGTTCTATAAATATGTTTGACTAGCACAAAACTCTATACAACACTCTTCTTAGGCGAAGGGAGTAGAAGCTAGCGGGGGCTCCATCAAAGCACTCAAATTAAAGATTGTGAGGTACCCCGAAGATTGATTTGATTGGTTGTAAGATGCTATAGTGCTCATTGCCACAGGAGATTGGTGAAGTGCAACTCTAATGAAATCACGGCTTTGAAGAGCATCTTGTGATGGAACTGGCCTAGAAATCAAGCCCTCGAGTGGAGAAAGCAACCTTGTGGGGTTGAGACTTGATAGAGAGTGGCAATTCTTTAGCTTACCTCATTGTGAATGTAGGTGACTGGCAAGTCACCAAACCTCTACCATAAATCTCTTTGTCTCCATTATGTCATATTAATTACTCTACACTTGTTCCTTACTTTGTGTTATTAATTTCATAGTGTAGAGATATTAGAACTTTTCTTGCTCTCTAGTGTTGTGTAGTAGATGCTCACAATATGCTTAGTGCTTTTCTTGCTAGTTTCATCTTCTCTAGGGACATAGCTTAGTGATATTCTTGCTCTCTAGCCTACGTTTGGATGGGGATTGGGATAGGGAAAGAAAATGAAGTGGGATAAAAGGAAGGTGTATGGGTAAGTATGGTAGTCTTTATTTCTCTATATCCTATCTCCATGTTCCATTATCGAAACAAGAGATCAAATCTATCCCACCCCTTATTTCCTTATCTCATCCCCCAATTTCCCATTTCCCACACGGCACCCTAGTGTTGTGTAGTAGTTGCTCACCTTAGGCTTGCATAACTCTAGCTAGAAGTAGTTTTTATTAGGGCCTGTTATGTTTCTAACCCTTTATCTAGTATTGTGCAGTGTTAGAGTCTAGGTCAAACAAAGAACAATTTATAAATAAATTGTTGCATACATATAGTGTTGCTTGTAGGAGCTTGCCGGAGTTCCTTATTTGGTTTAGGGTTTTGTGTTGGAGAGCACAAGTCCGTAGCAAATCCTTTTGACTCCTTCTGGAATCTCTCATGAATCCCTCTACCTCTCTCTCTCTCTCTCAATTCATCTCTTTAGTTTTGAACCCCTTGACCTAATTTCTATAGTCAACCAACTATCTTTATCAAATCAATGCACGTGAGTTGTCAACCCTTGGCATGGACCCTAGAGCCTTAAGTGACCCCTAGAGGACCACACTGGGAGGTGTACAAGTTGGCGACACATGTATACAATATAGGAGCCTTGGTTTATTTAGAAAATAGGAAATAGAAATAGAAAAAGAAAGGAAATGGAAGAGGAAATAGGAAGCCAAGCTGGCCCATCTCCACCGCACCCAGCCAGGCTCGTTGTCCCACAACACGACAAGGAGAGGATGCCTCGACCTTTTTCTCTGAGTCACTGCCAGTGGGGCCCTGTTATCATCCCTTCCCCTTTGGTCCCCTCTGTTTCACGAAGACAGATCACGGATGGGATCCCATGCCGCTCCCTCGCCTCTCCGCCATCCAAGCGTGGGCGGTTAGCAGTGGATGGACGGATAACTGCCATGCACGATCCGAGCCTCACTTTTCCCAGCTGGCGCCCGATAGGAGCACGCCCGCGCATGCGCTCGCGCGAATGGCACCCCTGCCATACCCACATTCCCGCCATCATCTTGTTCCTTGTGTGCCGCTACCGTGACTCTCCTTTGCGCCTACGGAAACGACCACAACTCTGACCACTAGACCCTACTAAGCAGACGAAAGCGACACCAGGAGCACCGAGAGCCCCTTGATCGCCTTCCTCGATCACCAGCCGTTCGCCGGCCAAGCTGTGTCGCTGCCGCTTATAAAAGCCATTCCCCCCAAAGCCCTAGCCATCCCTATTCCCCTACGCCACCGTTGGGGCTTTGCGCTCCACCTACCACGCCAAGTCGAGAGAGGAGAGGGACAAGGAGGAGAGCGGGTGGAGAAGAGTGGGAGGAGGAGCAGAGGAGTTGCCGGAGCCGCGTCTTCACCGTCGGAGCAAGAAGGAGATCGCCGAGGGAGCTACTGCCGCCGGATTGCGTTCTCACGCCATACGACTACTTCACCTACACCGCAGCCTCGCCGTCACGCTATGCTACGCCGAGCCCTACATCACCTGCTACGCAGGGTGAGCCACCACCGCGCCCTTCTTCCCAAATTCCGGCCAGCCTTGCCATGGACGCCATCGTGCCCCGCACCAGGAGCGACGCTGCGTCGGAGCTTCTCCGCTCTAGGACACACACGCGCACTCACATACACGGCCTAGCCAAGCCAACTGGACCACGGTATCAGGAGGACACCGGATCTGCCG